CAGCACGGCCGGGAGCTGCCGGAAGTCGCCCACCAGCAGGAACCGCACGTCGTGGTTCAGGGACACGCACGCGATGTCCGCCCACAGGCCCATGTCGAACTGCGTGACCTCCTCCACCAGCAGCCAGTCCAGGCGCTGCACGCTGGCCCCCCGCACGTACTTGCGCACCCAGTGGTCGGCCGTCTTCGCGGTTCTGCACGGCGCTGTGAGTCTTGCTGATGAGGTGCACTACCTCACCGCGCTCCCGCAGCTTGGTCACTATGGTCCGCGCCAGGTGCGTCTTGCCTGTGCCGGGCAGCCCGGTCAGCAGGAGCGATCGGCCGGCCAGGCAGTGCGCCACAGGGTCGGCCACGTCCGTCCAGCCGGCGGCCCTTGCTGGCGGCTCCGCCTGCATGCAGGGCGGCGCGTGCTTGCCTCGCAGCGGCTTCGTCGTCTCCTCGTGGCGGAATTTGGGCTTACCGTCTGGTACGTGTTGTGGACGAGCCGCTCCAAGTTGTCTCGGAACTTCCGCGGCATGCCCTGCAGCACCACGCAGTCCGTTTTCACCTGCTTGATGTACTTTGGCTGAAGGCCCAGTTCTCGTCGGATGCGTGCCACCATCGTCGCCTCGAAGCCGAGCACGCAGTCGTGGATGGGGCGCAGCGTTCCGTTGTTGTGGATTGAGCGGGTGGTGTTGAAGTCCCACACGTACCGGCCTTCGCCGACGTAGAATACCTGCCTGGTGTCGGCCCCTGTCGCGTCCAGCTCGTTGCTGCTGCTGCGCAGCGTGTACGCCTTGTTGCTGTCGTGCGCCATGAGCCCGATCATCGAGTTCACTGCAAGCTTTGCCATATGTTCTTCGCCCTCGGGCCAGGCCAGCTCCATGACGTCCAGCGCCGGCGCCAGGCACTCCGCGGTGACGTGGCTGGCCGCGTTCATCGTGTGGAGCACGTCGGACCACTGCGCCACGCCGCAGCGCAGCATGTAGTCCAGCGAGACCTTCGGGTACCAGCCCGGCCCCACGTAGGGCCGCAGCGTCACGGGGGCATCGCGCCCCCGATTTTGCAGGTCCACAAACGAGAGGTCTGCGAGGTGCCCGGGCCGCGCCGGCTCGATGTTGTCGGCCGGGCAGAAGATGGGCAGTGGGAACGGTGCGTTGGCCAGCCCGTTCCTGCGGCAGCGCACCACGTCCACGCCTTCGAGCGGTCCGCTGCCCGGGGCCCGCGCCTGGAACACTAACGGAGGCTGCTTGGGAGATCGTACGTACGCGTCGTAGACCGAGCGCGTGAACCGCGACTCCAGCGACGTGGGCTGCGTGCTTTCGGTCTGGGTCTTCATCTGGTGGCACTCAAGGCAGAGCGCCTGGAAGCGCTGCTGCTGCCCGGCGAAGGCCTGCCGCACCGGCACGATGTGGTCGAACTCCGCGCACCCGGCGCCGATCTGCTGCCCGCACACGGCGCACTTGCCTCCCTGCTCGGCCAGCAGCAGCTTCTTCTGCCGCTGGCTCGGGGTGATCCTCGGCGCCTTGTCCAGCGTGGAGAAAGCCTCGAAGCTCAGCGAGGCCAGCCTCTGCCCGCGGTAGTGCAGCCCCAGCCCCTTGGCCCATGCCTGCAGCAGCTCCCAGTCCTCGGGCAGCTCACGGATCACGCACTGCCCGCCCTTGGCGCGCAGCTTCAGGCTCGAGAACTGCGCGAGCGAGCGGAGCGTGACCTGCGGGTTGTGGCGAGCAGCAGCTGCCGCCTCGTCTCCCGTAGGTCCGTCGTGTGGAAGTGGCCCGGCCTGATCTCGCCCTGCCACGGGCTCCACTCCTCCAGTGGCGGCACGGTCTGCTTCGGGTCGCGCCGGTACATGACCAGCCGCAGCCCATCTGCTCCAGCACCGGCCGGGCGTTCCGGTAGAAGAAGGCGTGCCCGTCGTAGTAGGTGAACACCACGGTCTTGGTCTCCCGCTGCGCGGGCTCGAAGCGGTCCAGGGGCTCGCCTGTGTTGGAGATGAGGACCATGGGCGCGTTGCGCCACGCGCAGAAGGCTCGTATCTCCACCGGCGAGATGCCGTGCGCGCGCCCGTCGTGCTCTGCAAGGGCGTCGAAGTCTCCGCAGACCTCCTCGAAGGGCACGCCCAAGAGTTGAGCCAGCTGCCGCGGCACGCAGGCATTGTCCCCGGAATCCTCGAATGCGCATTCCAGGATATTGTTAAGCACGAAGCATGGCGTCACGTCGACACGCGGCGCAGGCCTCGCAGCCTCTGCCGCAGGATGGTTTCTACGTGTACGCGGCTGTTCCGGTATTGCGTCGTCTCCGAGGACACCACCCACTCCCCCTCCGGGTCGTAGAAGTACGTCTCGTCGCTGAGTTCCATGATGGGCGCCCTGCCGGCGGCGCGGTCCTCGTCCCCCGCGGTTATCAGCCGCAGCGTCTCCTGCTTGACGTTTTGCAGTATTTGCTGCTCCGACAGCCTGTCGGGCTGCCGGCTGGCCTCCCCACCCAGGACATTTGCGGGGAGCCAGTCCCTGCGCTCGTAAGCCCGGCCCGCGTTTTTGCCGGCCCGCCGCATCCCCCTGATGAGCACTGGGATGTGTGCTACGTGCTGCGAGTACTTGTTCTTGAAGAACCGCCTCCCTAGGTTCGTCAGCTGGTGCAGCCGCCGCACTAGGCCCCGCTGCCCGTTCTGCAGTAGCACGTAGTCGGCCGCACCCTCCCTGACCAGCGGCTGCCTTGGGTCGAAGGTCCTCGACTCTGGCTGCCGCCCGAGCATGCCGAAGTAGGCCTCCCCGGCCCTGGTGACGCTCCCGTCCGCGCGCTGGAGCAACGCGTAGGCGCCTCGGCCCCGCCTCAAGCCCAAGACACGGCTTCCGTCATCCGTGTCCCGGGCCCTCGATCCGGCCTCGACTGCCTGCCTGATGTTCTCTCGTTGTGTTGCCCAGGATGCCATTGTTGTCGATTGCTTTTCTTGGGCCGGCGGAAAAAAAGTGGTCCGACCAAGGTGGCCGCCCCGGCCCTGAAGTTCTGTGGGTTCCCCAGCCCTCTTCGCGGGTTTTCTCGAGGCCCCCAAACGGGTCTCTGGGGGCGCGTTCTTTTGCGTCGGGGATCCACGGTCAAAAGAACGTGGTTTTAAAAGGGACAAGAGTCCCCGCCTGCGCCGGCCTTCGCCTGCAGGTCGCGGACCTCGAGGACCAACCCGCACTGCTTGCCCATGATCCAGACCTGCCGGGCCTCGACGCGGGCCTGGCACTCGCAACCGGCCAGAGTCTCGGGCCTCCGGATCCTGTTTCCGTCAGCGTCCCAAAAGCGCACATTGCGCAAGTCCAGCTTGCACTTCAGGAACGTGGCGCCCTGTCGGGACTCTTTGAGGCAGCTCTGCCATCTGTCCTGCACGTCGGACCCCCATCGTTTCGTCAGCTCGTCAATGCATCGCTTCTCAAAGTCCTCCCAAGCAGCCCACGCCTCTGAATCTCTTTCCGTCGCAAAGCAGACGTTCTGCCGAGGCCCCTGGTCCTCGCCGAAACTGCTGGGCTCCCAGAGGACGCTGGTCCACTCGGACTGCCAGACGATAGGCTTCCCCTCAGACCTCAAGGGCGCCGACTTGGCTCCCTTAAAACTGGTCTGGACCTCGCCAATGGCGAATGTGGCGGTAATAGTCATCTGATGCCGGCGTTTTTTTTAGTAGGGTGGCAAAAAAAGGTGGTCCGACCAAGGTATCGACCCCGGCTCAAGCGGCTCGGATTTTGGCATGGCATGATTTTGCATGGTTTTTGCATGACATTTGCTCGGTGTGCGTGGTTTTGCATGGTTTTGGCATGGAATTTGCTTTTGTTTGCGCCCTGACCCCTGTCTTGAGGAAGGTGACGCCGTGACGGAAACGTTGTCGTGTCGTGTGTTGGGGGGGGGGCCGCTGTGAAAGTGGCGGCCACTGTACAAGTGGCGGGGCGGGGGGGCCACTGTTCAAGTGGCAGGCCACTGTACAAGTGGCATGGAGGGGGCCACTGTGAAAGTGGCGGCCACTGTACAAGTGGTTGAGCGTGCGCTTTAGGGCAGTGTCGAGGATCGAAGGTTGTGACGGGGTTTGCGTGGTGCTTTGCTATTTGAGCAAATGGCGGAGTTGCGTGACTTAACCTTGACATTTTTATTTTTCATGATTTTGTGGCATGTGGTTGTCTGGAACGATTCATGTGGACCCAAGCTGCCGAACAGGCAGCGGGAGGGCGCTGAACAAGCGCAAGGCTGCCGAACAGGCAGCGGGAGGGTGCCGAGCAGGCACCGGGGGGGGTGCCGAGCAGGCACCGGGGAGTGCCGAGCAGGCACCGGGAGCTGTCACAAGCTCGGGGGGGATGGAGCTGTCACAATCGGGGGGGATGGAGCTGTCACAAGCTTTGGGGGCTACGCAGGCCCCAGCTGCTTGGCAGGAAGGTTGGCTGACGTCGAGACTTTTTTTTTTGACCGGCATGTGCATTGAACTTGATGGGAGGCGATTCTTTCTAGGGATGTGAGGGTCTTGGAGGGGCGTCAAACCTTGCAGGAATACGGCCTAGGTTTAGAAGGCATGTGCATTGAACTTGACGGGATACAATTTTTTGAGGCATCTCCACGGGTGCGAGGGTCTTGAAGAGACATCAAACCTTGTAGGAACACGGCCTGGGTTTTGAAGACTTGTGCACTGAACTTGGCATGTTTTTTGAGCATGACACGGATTTTGAGGGCAAAAATCGCGTTTTTTTGGCGGCGCGGCGTTGTAGCGTGGGTGCAAAGGCCGTGCGGACCTCCCCGGGCCCGCATGGCTGCGAGAGCGGAAAAAAGGATCCTGTTGGCGTTCCCCGGGTGTCCCCTGTCACCCGGCTCTGTTCTGGCGTGCCCCCCCTCGTCCCCCGAGCGCCCTGAACAGGCGTTCTTGCGGAAAAAAATGCGTTTTTGCGTTTTCTGAAAATTTCGTTTTTGCACGGTTTTCACGCATGGATTTTCTTGCCGTGACACGTCTCTTTTTGCACGTGACGTTGGTTGTGGACTTGAGGGAACGGGACGTGCTGCAGCCCCTTTTTTTTTGGAGGGCGCTTCTGGGGGGGGTCTGGGGGGCAGCGAGGCTGTTCGCCGGGAGCCTGGCTGTGCTGCGACCCTCCGCCCTAAATGGCAAGCCGTTTTTGTCCCCTTAACCCGCTCATCCTTGTTTTCATCGAGACCTTGATGTCCTTGCTTGTGAGGTTGAACCCCGTGACTTTGAGAGACCGTGACCTTGAGCCGGCCGCAACCTCGGAGAGTTGAAGGGGAGCCAGGGTACTTAGGGCACTTGGGTCCTTGTCCTGTGGCTTGTGCGGTTGGGGTGGTTGATTTTTTGTCTTCTTCTTTTTTCTTGAGTTTTTCATTTCTTTCTTTTGTTCTTGAAGAAGAAGAATCAACTGAACAATACAAGCAAAAAAAAACGTACCAAATACGGAACCCATCAAAGACGCCACCAAAAAAACGGAGCCCGTAAAAAAAAACCAAAAAAAAAAACAAAAAAAAAAACAAAAAAACATGGTGGTGCCCCGGAGGCGCCCTACCTCTCCCCGGCGGTGCCCCGGTACCCCCTCTCCCCGGCCCAGGTGCCCCAGGTGCCCTAGGTGCCCTAGGTGCCCTGGGCCCCTCTCCCCGGCCCCGGTCCCCCCAGGTGCCCTAGGTGCCCTAGGTGCCCCCCTCTCCCCGGCCCCGGTCCCCCCCAGGTGCCCTAGGTGCCCTAGGTGCCCTGCCCCCTCTCCCCGGCCCCGGCTAGGTGCCCTAGGTGCCCTAGGCCTAAGGTGCCCCGAGGTGCCCTAGGTGCCCTGCCCCTCTCCCCGGTGCCCCGGGCCCTAGGTGCCCTAGGTGCCCTAGGTGCCCTAGGCCCCCAGCCACCAGGTGCCCTAGGTGCCCTAGGTGCGCTAGGTGCCCTGGGTGCCCTGCCCCCTCTCCCCGGCCGGCCCCTAGGTGCCCTAGGTGCCCTAGGTGCCCTAGGTGCCCTAGGTGCCCTAGTGCCCTGGGTGCCCTGGGTGCCCTAGGTGCCCTAGGTGCCCTAGGTGCCCTGGGTGCGCTGGGTGCCCTGCCCCCTCTCCCCGGCCCCGGCCCCTAGGTGCCCTAGGTGCCCTAGGTGCCCTAGGTGCCCTAGGTGCCCTAGGTGCCCTGGGTGCCTGCCCCCTCTCCCCGGCCCCTAGGTGCCCTAGGTGCCCTGGGTGCCCTAGGTGCCCCAGGTGCCCTAGGTGCCCTAGGTGCCCTAGGTGCCCTAGGTGCCCTAGGTGCCCTAGGTGCCCTGCCCCCTTTTTTCCCCTGAACAGGGTCCCGGGCACCCAGGGCACCTAGGGCAAGTAGGGGCACCTAGGGCACCTAGGGCACCTGGGGGGGACCGGGAGGGGGCAGGGCACCGGGCACCTAGGGCACCTAGGGCACCTAGGGCACTTAGGGCGCTTCTGGGGCGGCCCCGGCTCAGGTCAGCCTAGGGCACCCGGCTCAGGTCGGTAGGGCACCTTGGGCACTTAGGGCGCTTCTGGGGCGGCCCCAGCTCAGGTCAGAGGGCACCTAGGGCACCTAGGGCACTTCTGGGGCGGCCCCGGCTCAGGTCAGTAGGGCACCCAGGGCACCTAGGGCACCCAGGGCACCTTGGGGCGGCCCCGGCTCAGGTCGGTAGGGCACCTAGGGCACCTAGGGCACTTAGGGCTCAGGTCGGTGGGGCACCCAGGGCACCTAGGGCACCTAGGGCACCTGGGGGGGCACCGGGAGGGGGCAGGGCATGTAGGGCACCTAGGGCACCTAGGGCACTTAGGGCGCTTCTGGGGCGGCCCCGGCTGAGGTCGGTTACATCCTGGCGAAGACGACCCCGGCAGGGCACCTAGAAAAACGGGTCTGGAGGGGTTTCGGATTTTTTTTTTCAATGGTCTGCCCAACGGGCCCGGGTGGATTCGTTTTTCAATGGTTCGCCCAACGGGTCTGGAGGGGGTTTCGGATTTTTTTTGCAATGGTCTGCCCAACGGGGGAGGATTCGTTTTTCAATGGTTCGACCAGCGGGTCTGGAGGGGTTTCGTTTTTTTTTCAATGGTCTGCCCAACGGGTCTGGAGGGGTTTCGTTTTTCAATGGTCTGCCCAACGGGTCTGGAGGGGTTTCGGATTTTTTTTGCAATGGTCTGCCCAACGGGCCCGGGAGGATTCGTTTTTCAATGGTTCGCCCAACGGGTCTGGAGGGGGTTTCGGATTTTTTTTCAATGGTCTGCCCAACGGGTCTGGAGGGGTTTCGTTTTTCAATGGTCTGCCCAACGGGCCCGGGGGGATTCGTTTTTCAATGGTTCGCCCAACGGGTCTGGAGGGGTTTTGGATTTGTTTTTTTAATGGTCTGCCCAACGGGTCTGGAGGGGTTTCGGAATTCTTTTTCAATGGTCTGCCCAACGGGCCCGGGGGGATTCGTTTTTCAATGGTTCGCCCAACGGGTCGCACCTAGGGCGCTTCGGGTGGGATCTGCCCCGGCTCAGGTCGTCAAGAGGACCCTGCCAGGGGGGCACTTCTGGCGGGACCCAGCCCCGGCTCAGGTCGGTTACATCCTGGCCAAGAGGACCCTGGCAATTCAGGTCCTGGTTGAAAAATCCGGCAGGGCATGGGGGGGACCCGCTCCGGCTCAGGTCGGTAGGGCACCCAGGGCACCTAGGGCACCTGGGGGTGCCCGGGCTCAGGTCGGCTGGCCAAGAGGACCCTGGCAGGGCACCTAGGGCACTTCTGGCGGGACCCAGTCCCGGCTCAGGTCGGTTACATCCTGGCCAACAGGACCCTGGCAATTCAGGTCCTGGTTGAGAGGATCCGGCAGGGCACCTAGGGCGTCTAGGGCACTTAGGGTACTTCCGGTGACTCAGGCTCCTGGTCTCGGAGATGCAGGGCCCCTGATGTGGGATTGGTGCGGGGCTTGTCGGCTTGTTGGACGCATTGTTGGCTTGTTGGACGCATTGTCGGCTTGTTGCACATGTATCGGCGGCTTTGTTGGCTCAGGCGGCTACATCCTGCTCCTGGAGAAGCCTTTTTGCAGGGCCCTAACGCGGGGTTGGTGGGAGGCTTGTCGGTGCATTGTCGGTTTGTCGGATTGCCGTGCATTGTTGGCTTGTTGGATTGACGTACATTGGCAACTTTGTTGGATTGACGTACCTTGGCAACTTTGTTGGATTGACGTACCTTGGCAACTTTGTTGGATCGACGTGCGGCTTGCTGAGGCGGCTACATCGCAACATCCTGCTCTGGCGGACCAGGCCAGCCCATGTCTGTCGTGTTGTGACACTTGATCGTTGCGTGAGCCTGTGAGCGTGAGCCTTTGTTATCGCGAGCCTTCGTTGTGCCACGACCAAATGTTGCAGCTCATCCAAAACGGTATGGGCTTCGATTTTATGACCATGCCCAAATGCGAATCCAAACGGCCGATGATCCCCGTTGGGTTTCGTTTCTACCACCAAATGATGCCTCACGAGCCTGTGCATGGACGATTGGGATCGCAGCATTTTTGCTTCCAAGATTTTGTTTTAGCTTCTTGTCATCCCTGACACCAGTCAACATGGATCACATCATCGGTCGGGTGGACCCTCCGCATCCTGCGGCGGCGGTGGAGGAGGTGCTCGACAGTGGTGCCTCCAGCGACTTCAACGATGCGGCCTTTGAGGCTGGCAGTGGAGGCGGCACTGAGGCTGGCAATGTTTTGCTTTCGCTGTAGTGCCCTCCAACTTGAGTAGTTTTCCATTGGGATTGCAAATGATTGGCGCAGAATGCAGTGCGACATCTCAAGCTGTCCTAAGCAGATGGCGCAGTGAACCGTTTTCCTTACCCGGCTGGCAGCAGAGGAGAGTTGATGTCAAACAATTCAATCCTCAACACACGCATGTGCACGCATTGAGGGCAGCTTCATCCAGACACGTTCGATGCATATTGAAACCCAGCAGCATGGTCACACAGATTCATTTTCTATCATTGAACCCTTGCCATGGAGTGGCGGCATGGGCAATTCGTAGCATACCGTGGGGAACCTGTTCCGCAAAATGCACCTCTTGCGTGGTTTGGGCAGCCTGGGTCTTTTGTTGCGCCTGCTGCGCCACTTCCGCGCCCTGCGGTGCAATTTCTACCGCAAACACAGGCAGTTTTTTACGGAAGCCATGCCATACCAGAGCCAGCGCGGCAACGACAACTTGACAAAACATATTGTTTAGTTGATGAGGACGGACGGCCCAAGCCCTTCTCAAGTGTCAGTCAGATCAGCGGAAGGAACTATGAAAGTATGATATCCTGCATGATTGGCAGTGGTGGTCCTCGGACGCTCCGTGCAAATTTATTTCAAGACCCAAAGGAACAACATCGTTTGAAGACATGCAAGGAAGCTGTTGCGCGCTTTCTGCGCGAAACAGTCTCCGACCACATTGGGGACGGAATGAGATCAAGGGGTGTCGGGGAGGAGGAAGCAGAAGTCGACACAGTCTACAATGGTTCTTTCGAGAACTTTGCTGCAAAGGTCGAGAGGCTGAGCACAGTCAAGGTCAGTGCTACGTGCGCAAACGTTCAGAGAGTGCTTGTGGAAATCTGTTCCGACAGCCGCTACGTTGCAATGAAGCTTTATCAGATTGAGATCCAGAGCTGTCTTGTTGCGCGCAAGGGATTCTGAGCACGTGACGATGCAAGACAATTGGAGCCAGTTGAGCTTCAGCCGGATACCACAGGCTTTGCGATCGGTTTCAACCGAGCAGCATTGCAAGTCGATACAGAATCGCTGGCTGATCGACTTGGCCTTCAAAATGTGTTGGGCTTGCTCAAGAACAAGATGCTGCACGTTGTCTACTTTCAATCAGAGGCTGCACTGCCTGCAGCATTGGAAATGGCCAGCAAGGCAATTTCAAAGGCGGAAATGGCGCTACAACTGGCGCGAGGCAAGCGTTGCGCGGGGTGCCACATGGTTTGTTTTCTTGCGATGCCCTTCTTTTCTTCGGCAGTGTCAGGACATTGCGATGGGTCAAGGAACCAAGCCTGCCAAAACGGCGCCCTTGCCAACTCTTTCTAAGCCATTGGCATCAGACGCTTTTGGTCTTGCATTTGCATGTTGTTTCATGGTTCATGGGGCGCTTGTAAGCAAACATGCTCTTGAATGCAAAGCTGCAAGCAAAGCTGACCGATCATGTTCTTTTCAAACAAACAGGAGATTTCCCCCAAAATCCATGCGCTGGAAGAACGATTGGCGCTGGCAGACTAATGCCCTACACATCATTTGTTGTACTTGGGCCTTGGATGGGATTGTTGCTTTCTAGTTGGATGTATTACAGCTTGATTTCGAAGCCTAATCAGTTTCAGGGAGAGTGAAAGCCAACGGGCGCATCCGTTGCTCAGATTGCCGCCTGCAAGGCAGTGCCGCCCGCAACGACCCCCAGCAGTGTGGGTCTGTCAGCTGGGAAGCCCTGCCTGGACCTTACCAGCAGCTGTGAGCAGTTTTGCCCTGCATTCACGTTCGAAAAAGCTGTCGACTTCCTTCTCAGAAGAGCTCTCAAATTGTCGCCCACCTTCAATATTCAATGGAGATGTTGTGTTTTTTTTCCTTGCCCTGGCTCCCTGACCTTGCAGGGCAGTGGCGGCTTCCAGCCCGCTGGCAATGCTTTTCCAATCGACCCAGTGCCGCAAAACATAGCACCCCTGCCATGTATTTGTTGAATGCATTTTGATCACTTTTTGTGTGAACTTGAACTTGGAGGATGCTGTGCGTCTTAGCTTCAATGTTGGCAGGCATACTTGAAGGAAGTGCTGCCCTCAAGCCGAATTTCGCTCATACCGTCTTGCGAGCTGTTTGCAGAAGGGCGATGACAAAGATGGAGGGTTTGAATGATTTCAACTCTGAGCGTTGCTTGAGGCCATCAAGCAGAAGAACCCAAATACTGTATCCTGCGATGCCTATCAAATGGACATTTACCGCCGGAAGGAGAGCTTTGCATGTCAAAGCGCACCCCATTTGTTCCATCCCCCACACCCCACCCCATTGCCGTCTCTCAGCTGGAGTTTGCAGGACGGCCGCTGGGTCAAGGAAACAATGATGTCATCAAGTCTGCGCAACACAGATGAGCCCAGCACTTGGTTCCGATGCCTTTCAACTTTGGGTTGTGCCGTCGCCCAGCTGTCAGGGCAGACTGCTACGGATTCATGTTGCCAGCTGGAGCTGCTGGAGCCACATAGTTTGAGGCACCTGCCTCAGCGCAGCAGTCTTCTACACTTGTGAGCTTGCGTCGTTAATAGGCTACTGCTGGCTGTGGTCACTGTTCTCGGCTGAGGCAATGCTGGCCCACAACGTTTCACCTCTTACAGGAACAAAAAAGTGCAGTCGCAGGCACAGTTGTTTCGTTGCAGTGCGGCTTGCTGTGAAGCTCTTGGTTGGCGGCAAATTTCCACAAATCGGTGACATAGTTTGTCACGTTACCAGCTGGAATTGCTGGAGTCGCATAGTTTGAGGCACCTCAGCGGCGCAGCGGTGTTCTACACTTGTGAACTTGCATCGTTGACAGGCTACTGCTGGCTGTGGTCACTTGCAGTTTTGCTTTCTCTGTAGTGCCGTCCAACTTGAGTAGTTTTCCACTGGAATGCAGTGCGACATCTCAAGTTGTCCTAAGCAGATGGCGCAGTGAACCTTTTTTCCCCACCCGGCTGGCAGCAGAGGAGAGTTGATGTCAAACAATTCAATCCTCAACACATGCATGTGCACGCATTGAGGGCAGCTTCATCCAGACACGTTCGATGCATATTGAAACCCAGCAGCATGGTCACACAGATTCATTTTCTATCATTGAACCCTTGCCATGGAGTGGCGGCATGGGCAATTCGTAGCATACCGTGGGGGACCTGTTCCGCAAAATGCACCTCTTGCGTGGTTTGGGCAGCCTGGGTCTTTTGTTGCGCCTCCTGCGACATTTGGGCAGCCTTCTGCATTTCCACCGCAGCAAACACTGGCATTTTCAGGATGCCGTGCCGCAGGAAAGCCAGCACGGGAACGACAACTTGACGAAACGTATTGTTTAGTTGGTAAGGACAGACGGCCCAAACCCTTCTCAAGTGTCAGTCAGATCAGCGGTGGAGACTATGAAGGTATGATATCCTGCATTTTTGAATGTGGTGGTCCTCGGATGCTCCTTAAGATCCAAGCTCAAGACCCAAAGGAGCGGCAGCGTTTGGAGACATGCAGGGAGACTGTTGCGACCTTTCTGCAAGAAACAGTCTCCGACCACATTGGGGACGGAATGAGATCAAGGGGTGTCGGGGAGGAGGAAGCTGAAGTCGACGCATTCTACGATGGTTCTTTCGAGAACTTTGCTGCAAAGATCCAGGGGCTAAGCGAAGTCAAGGTCAGTGCTACGTGCGCAAACGTTCAGAGAGTGCTTGTGGAAATCTGTTCCGACAGCCGATATGTTGCAATGAAGCTTTATCAGATTGAGATCCAGAGCTGCCTTGTTGCACGCCAGGGATTCTTAGCACGTGACGATGCAGGACAATTGGAGCCAGTTAAGCTTCAGCCGGATACCACAGGCTTTGCAATCGTTTTCAACCGAGCAGCATTGCAAGTCGATACAGAATCGCTGGCTGATCGACTTGGCCTTCAAAATGTGTTGGGCTTGCTCAAGAACAAGATGCTGCACGTTGTCTACTTTCAATCAGAGGCTGCACTGCCTGCAGCATTGAAAATGGCAAGCAAGGCACAAGAAGAGGCAGTCAAGGCACAACAGAAGGCGGAAATGGCGCTACAACTGGCGCGAGGCAAGCGTTGCGCGGGGTGCCACATGGTTTGTTTTCTTGCGATGCCCTTCTTTTCTTCGGCAGTGTCAGGACATTGCGATGGGTCAAGGAACCAAGCCTGCCAAAACGGCGCCCTTGCCAACTCTTTCTAAGCCATTGGCATCAGACGCTTTTGGTCTTGCATTTGCATGTTGTTTCATGGTTCATGGGGCGCTTGTAAGCAAACATGCTCTTGAATGCAAAGCTGCAAGCAAAGCTGACCGATCATGTTCTTTTCAAACAAACAGGAGATTTCCCCCAAAATCCATGCGCTGGAAGAACGATTGGCGCTGGCAGACTAATGCCCTACACATCATTTGTTGTACTTGGGCCTTGGATGGGATTGTTGCTTTCTAGTTGGATGTATTACAGCTTGATTTCGAAGCCTAATCAGTTTCAGGGAGAGTGAAAGCCAACGGGCGCATCCGTTGCTCAGATTGCCGCCTGCAAGGCAGTGCCGCCCCGCAACGACCCCCAGCAGTGTGGGTCTGTCAGCTGGGAAGCCCTGCCTGACCTTACCAGCAGCTGTGAGCAGTTTTGCCTGCCCTGCATTCACGTTCTGAAAACAGCTGTCGACTTCCTTCTCAGAAGAGCTCTCAAATTGTCGCCTAGCTCCAAAATCAAAGGCGTTTGTGGAGCCATCGGTTAAACGGATGGATGTGAACTGGATTGCAGTGCCTTTGCGTTAGGAGGCTGGCACGGAGCCTGAGACCATTGGCAGCGCGTTCAAAATAACTACAAGTGTTTCAGATGCCCACGCCTCAGCTGCGCCACTTTGCGAAGGACCTAAACCATTGTTTTGCCCTCGAAATTGCTGCTTCATGCTTCGCGGGGATGTCAGGTGGATGACTTGAAGAAGGCCCCGCGCTTGAAAGGGCTCAAGCCGAATTTCGCTCATCCTGTCTTGCAAGCTCTTGAAAGAAGGGCGATGACAGAGATTGAGGGTTTGAGTGATTTCCACACTGAGCGTTGCTTGAGGCCATCAAGCAGGAGAAGCCAAACCGAGTCATATGCGATGCTGATGAAATTGACATATACAGCCAGAAGGAGAGCTCTGCATGTCAAAGCGCACCCCATTTGTTCCATCCCCCACACCTCACCCCATTGCCGTCTCTCAGCTGGACTTTGCAGGACGGCGGCTGGGTTAAATCAGATGAAGAATCAGAAGTCGACCGTGGCAAATCCAAGCCCAGCGCTTGGTTCCGATGCCTTGCAATTTTGGGTTGTGCTGTCGCCCAGCTGTCAGGGCAGACTGCTATGGATTCACGATTCCAGCTGGAGCTGCTGGAGCCGCATAGTTTGAGGCACCTCAGCAACCCAGCAGTGTTCCACACGTGCGAACTTGCATCGTTGCCAGGCTACTGCTGGCTGTGGTCACTGTTCTCGGCTGAGGCAATGCTGGCGCACAACGTTTCACCTCGTACAGTGACAAAAGCATGCGTTCGCAGGCACAGTTGTTTCGTTGCAGTGCGACTTTGCTTGACTCCTGAAGGGTAAGGCAGGCAACTGTTCACACTTTTGAACATCAGGCAACGGTGTTCAAGTCAAGCAGGGAATGCCTGCAACGGGTACAGGACCAGCAACAGTTGCCGGCGCTGGTCAACAGCTGTTTCACTGCGGCGTTCCTCCCTGTGCCAAAGCGCGCGGATGCAGTACCAAGCCGTTTGAAGAAGTGCGGGGGAAAGAATTGCTCTCGTGGCTTGCCAGTTTGATCTTTTTGAGCCAAGTTGTGCACAGGTGTTTGATGCTATTTGTTGAAGGTGGCGATCAGGGAAGTTGAGCAGCAGTGGACAAGAAATCACGCCGACCAGCGCCAGTGCTAATGAGCATCATTGCAGAATGCGGGCCAACAGCATGGGAGAAACGCATGGAGCGGCAATGTCATTACTTCCAGGAATCGCGGTAGCATGTCATGAAGCGCCAATGGCTGAAGCTGGTGTTTTTTCTGCCGACTGTGCGCCATTTCACCAGCCGAGTTCTCTCTCGGCTTTCTCGGGGCAAGCAGTTGGTCAACAAGCTCTCGCAGGTGAATGGCGGATGGGGCTTTTGAGCAAGTATCCAGCGAACAAATGGGGAGCAAGTCCACGCATTGTTCTTTATTGGACGCAAATCTAAAACTGCACTTCTGTCCCCGCTGCGCACAGATTCCAGGGCGTTGGGAACAAGCTGATCTTCCCCATGGCCACGGTTTGCTTTTTTTTAGCGCATCCCAAACCCTGAGTCTTGACGCGCAGGTGGCAGCAGTAGATTAGGCGGTAGGCCAGTCCCCGTTTCGATCACCCAGCAAGGCCTCGGCTTGCAGCAGCGCAGCCAGCAGCTGTCCATTTGCCGCAGCCTGCCCCAGATTGTGGGCAGCCATTGTGGCGAAAACTTGTTTCCGCAAAACAGAAGGTCCTTTTTTCAACAACAAAATCCGGTTTTGTAATTTTTATACAGGCTCGGAATTTGTAGGGAGTTCCCCGATTTTAGAAAAGCCAGCAAAAGGCACCGACAGCGACCAGTACTTGCTGCAACTCTGCGGACCCACGCCGTTTTGAACAGTGTCCGCGGTCAACCCCTGTCTATCGAACTCTGCATAGATGGTGGAGGCATCTGAGGCACCCCAAGTTAAGCAATGAGCTGCCAGAAACGCTGCCAGAGCTGCCGCAGTCCGACCAGGCGATGAACTTCTTCCTGCATGCCGAAGCTTGCCTCGAACTGCCGCAGCCAGGCGATGAACAAGCAGAAACGCTTCCAGAGCCGCTGTAGGCCCATCCCAGACAGGCAATGAACAAGGAAAATCTGCCGACCCCAAAGGCAGGATTGCGCCCTCAGGGGCTGTGGTCGCATTCTGGGAAAGGGCCGGACGCAGCCACAGAGGCTGGAGCAATTCCGGGCTGCTGCGAGTACAGGCCGCGACAGGGTCGCTGGGCTGCTTGGAGGTGTACTCGGGCGTGGGGAAGAGCTTTTCGCCTCGGCTGGCGCACTTGCATGCACCAAACCATTGGGATCAGAATCGCCGCGTGGGGAAGAGCTTAATCCTCCCCATGCCTTTGCCTTATGGGCGCATCCCATTCCCTAAGGCCAACCGCTGCCCGGCGGAAGCAACACTGCAGCGACCGAAGCGCGAGCCCAACCCAGCCAAGCGGGCGTCGCTCTGCAGGTGCAGCGACTCTCCCAGGTCTACCTCAAAGTCGCTGTCCGAGCCGGCCACTCTCTTGCGGCTGTCCACGTAGATAGTGGTCATCCTTTTCTTTAGGAACCCGCCCGTCCGGCGGACGACGGGCGGCTGGACGGCTGCGACGGAAGTGCAGCACTGAGCGCCTGAGGCGCAGGAGATGTTCTCACACTTCGCGTTGATCAGCGTGGAGCTGGCGAACAGCTTCTGGCCCAGGAAGCTGAGCGCCGCTCCCATCGGCGTCTTTTTCAAGCGCGAAACGCTCTTCGAAGCGCTTGTAGAACATTTCGTTCTTCGGCTTCAGGTAGTACACGAAGAGGAAGCTGTAAGGTTCTCGGGTCGCCTGCTCATACAGCCGGTACAGCTGCTCCTTCGGCAGCAGGGCGCTAAGCTCCTCGATGACGGCGTCCAGCTCGAGCAGCAGAGAAATTGCATGTTGACCCGCACGGCTGCGCTGATGAGCCTCAGCTTCTGCGAGCTCACCCAGGTGCTGATCTGCATGTGACGGCCTCGGATGAAGAGCGTGTCAAGGGCGCCGTGCGGCTTGTGGAGTTGCGGCGTGTCAGCAAAGTCGTCGATGACTACAAAGCACCTGGTACAGTTTCTTCATTTCCAACTTCTTGGACGCTTCCGTGATCTTGCGCTGCTGCTGGATGATGCGCCGCAAGGCGGACTCATCCCACTCGTCCCAGTAAGCCTGCTCACGCTCCGTGTTCACCCCCAGGTCCTGCTCGATG